CCCAGGGAAGTGGTTGAGTCACCATCCCTGGAGGTATTTAAAAGACGGGTAGATGAGGCGCTTAGGGACATGGTTTAGTGGGCATGGTGGTGTTGGGTTGATGGTTGGACTCAATGATCTTCGAGGTCTTTTCCAACCTTGATGATTCTATGATTACACTAATATTAATTAGTCAAAATAATATTCTTCTCTAAAATATTCTTCCATTTAGGTTACGAACTCAACAAAATAATTTCATCAACCAAACTTATTTTAGAAGGAAAAAATCAGCTTTGTTTAACAAAACCCGTTTGCCTTAATGTGTCACCATCCATCTCTTTAGCCAGGAGGGATGGGGCATTGCTATCAGGAGACATCTCAATATAAAGCATAGGTGCAATTTGTTTTTAGCTTTCTATTTAAGGATCTTTTCTGCAGTGGGTAAAGAAAAATAAGAATGAGCGTGGTATATCTGTAATAAAAGCTAAATTTGGACACCTTTGTTTTAGTTCGTGTGTCTACATGCTAATGTTTGGTTTGGTCTGCCTATGCTTGATGTTGGTGATGCTTGCAAACCATTAAGATGCATTGGCCCAGACCCACTCTTAAGGTGATATATCTAAATGGCACCCAAGTCAGAGCTGATCGCATCCTCCCAGCCCGGTAGAGGAGTGGAATTGGATCACAACTTTCTATGCCTGCTCCTGAAATTGTTTCATAAAGGATGAAAAAGCTTTTTGCCAAAAGTAGATGAGGTTTTTTAAAAGAAAAAAGAAGCATATAACGTTGCAGAAAGATGTTTATGAGAATTTTCAGAATCATTTAAGTGCTTCATTTTTTAAAATCTGATAATATGCCTAGTTCCTTTTAAAAAATCTTACTAAATAAATTCTAAGGTTGAATATAAACAATGAAATACTGATTAAAACTGGCCTTCCGCTTGACTTCTTTGATGTTTTCTTCAGCTCCAGGTGATATTTTTTCCTGTTTCATGACAGCGGATTATAGCTGAACGAAAAAACCCATACAGGCAAACTGATCAGGTGCCTTTCAAGCTTTCAGTGAAACTGCTTCTTCTGACATAGCTGGCTAAGAGCCTGGGGAGACTGATGAAAATTCATCTTACAAAAAGCAGATCCACTTCTGTAGTTTGTATGGATTATGGAGTATACTCTCTCTCTTCTTTTTTTTTTTTTTTTTTTTTTTCCCCCCCCCCTGTTTTTTTTTTTTTGTTGTTGTTTTTCTTTTTTTTTTTTGTGGTGAAAGAGCCTGCTGCTAGGGGTCTGGATAAATCAAAAGCAGGCAGGATTGAGAGGTAACTGTTGAGAGCTGTTGGATTGCTCTGGCAGCAGAGATGTTGGGCTCCACTCTGTGTGTGCCCTTTGGAGCCCGAGAAGTTGGTTCAGGGTATCGATCGGAGATCAATTTTATTATACATTAGTAATAATATAACTGAAATGTTGTATTTTCTTTAAAAATAGAGAAGCTGCTGACTGACCTTTCTTACTGTGCAGGCTTCAAAATGTCTTCTGTTTCTAATGAGGAGTGTGACACTTTGATATAGGATCATTACAAGAGAAATAAAAATAGGGCTTTTTTCTCAGTAAAATAGAATGGGTCAGTCTGTCCTACTTAGCAGCTTTTTCTTAAAATATTGTTTTTTAAATAAAAAAAAAGTATCTTATGTACTTCCTCCCTATGCATAGTTGTGGGCACTATTTGAAATAGGTCACTGGGCCACTCTTATGCTAAGAAAGTAAAATACAAACCCCTTCACCTATTTAACGCATTACAATATCTGTATTGTTGTTAAATTACAGTGAAGTACAATTTTACTAAATACAAAAGTACAAAGAATAGGTGTGCTTGTAATCATATTTCAAGCTGAAAACTCTTAATAACTTTGGGAATGTAAGTTACATAAAGAAAAACATTAATACACTTCGTATGTTTGGAAAAATCAGCAGCGGCAAATAGGTGAATTTGTAATTTTGAGGAAGTTTCAGTAAACAGACTTGTAGGTGAACCATATCAGGTTACAATAACCAGGTTTATGATAAACTGGCAGTAGCATTATGTTCTCTTAAAATGTTATTGAAGAGCAGCTGATGGAGAAATCCTCATAGTCACCTAATCTTTATTCATGTCTTTTTTGAAACACGCTGTGCTGAGCATAAAGGTCAGCTTTATCTACTTTGAAATGATTGAAATTCTATTAAATATGCTGTTATAATCAGAAGAAGAACAAGATGTTCTTTCCTCTTGCTGGAATCCTATCCTGTTTCTAAGAAAAAGCATAGTTTATAGCAGAAATAACTGAATGAATAATATTGTCTCCTATTTTTTTAACTAAAATTCTTTACATGACGATTCAAGAGGTTTAACTTCTGAGGCTTGCACAACAAATATAAAGTGAGTGGGACCACAGCAAATGAAGGTAGCTGGACTTGTACGGTGGAGCTGGGATGAGCTGTCTTGGCTTATAACCAAACTTTTTCATCCCACTGATTTCTTTCTATTATTACTGTAAGAGAAAATTGTTGTAAGCAAACCAAAGCAGTTCAACAAGGAAAGTGTCTTGGCAGACATGCCCAGACATGGACAACCCCCATGAGAGAAATAGTTCAGAGCAGGTTTATAATTTGTTCTGTCCCAAAGAATATTTTAGGAATAAAAAAGATGCTTTCCTGTGGGAAATTGTGAGCATCTGGGCATTTTTAAGAACCAAACAGATAATTTCAAGATTAGAGATAAGATTTCTGTCATAGCACTATCTAAATGAAGTAATATTTTTGTAATTTTGCTGACATTTTAAAAATTAATTAGGCACACATGATTCTGTTTAGACATTCTTGAAAAGCTGAATTACAGAAACTGCAAACCTTTTATTAATTGGAGCACTGATAAATAGAGACAAATTGAGGTCAACACTGTTTCTGGCAAAATGTTGCAATAGTATTTATGAATATTCAAAAATTACATAATAACTTTACTAATACTGGTGACTTTTCTTTGTAAATCGTGTTAAAGCAAATTATCCAATAGATTTGGTATTTACAGGACTATTCAGACTTGTGGCATACACAGCTATTTTGTCGGAGGAGACATCCAATTAATGTTCATATATGCTACTGCATTACTTTATACAGAGTATCAGGAATAGGAATAACAGAGGATTATTTTTTTTCTCTTTAGAATACATTCACTTCAGATCCCAGCTGGAGCTATTGTTGTTCAGGATGGTAGAGAGAAGAGAGTTCTGGTCTTTTGAAAAATTAGTAATAATTTTGATAAGAATGGGCCTTATTTGGACTATACGTATTATTTTTTATTTTATTTAATTTTCAGTTCTGAAAAAATACCAGCAAACTAGCTGCTATTGGAAAAAACACTGTAAAAATGGCTACCAAACACTGCGGTGATTCAGACCTCCTTTGTGAACGATATCCATATTCCATCTCAAATGTTCCTCCATTTCATCACTCAGCGTTCTTATTGTAAGTGCAACTTATGATGATGAGGTAAAACTAGTTATAGAGAAAGATATTAGAGTTGTTAATATTGAAAA